TTTTTGCTTACCTTTTACTCAACAGACTTATAGAAATACGATATAGCAGAATGAACCCTATTCAAGCTGGATTCAGAACGGGGCGCGGTTGTGCTGACCAGATATTCACGTTAAAAAAAGTGTTTACAACCCACTGTCACGTGTTTCATTGACTTTGAGGCTTCCTTTGATTCAATTGATATAGCGGCGCTTTGGAGGATGATGGAATGTGACGGTGTTCCAGAGAAAATCATTAGACTCATAAAGGCATTTTATGTCAGCGCAGATCTGTGTATATGGGGAGCTGACAGATTCCTTCGAAATAAGAACAGGTGTCCGCCAGGGCTGCATCTTTTTCACCACAATATTCAACTATGCGATAATGGATACTGCTTGTCGGCACTCAAAGGGTGTCCAATTCAGTCCAAAGCATCGTATCACAGATCTTGAATAGCTGATGATATAGTCCTTTTTGCTGACAGTTATGACGAAATGCAAATAACGTGTCAGAAACTGCAGCAAGAATCGGACTTAGGGTCAATGTAACAAAAGTCTTTTCTTCTTATGCGCAAGAAGATAAAATGCCTCCTTTTGTAAATTCATTGCCGTTTGAGGAAGTGCCTGATTTCAAATACCTTGGGTCCACTCTAATACCAAATGGACAGGCAAAAGATGACATTATACTCGGATCACGGCAGCTAGGAATGCGTTCTTCCGGTTGACGAAACCTTTATGGAATCGTCGCGAAATCACCATAAAAACGAAAGCCCGCATTGTTATTGCCGTGATCCGTTCGATCTTACTATATAGTTATAAGACATGGCCAATGAGAGTGGAGGATATTAAGAAGTTATTGCCTTTGACCACTCTTGTCTAAGGTACATATTACGGATCCGTCGAGCGGATAAGATGTCACAAGATCGCATCCATCTTCGTTCAAATACCACTTGCATAAATAATGTTATCACAGAGCCTTCGCTGGTTAGGGCACATTCTCCGTCGTCCACCATAGGAGTTGACGCATATTTCGTTATTTGCTAAACCGTGTGATGTTTGGTATCAAAAGCGAGGTGGGCCAATCAAGACCTGGTAAGACCTGTTACGGTGAGAAAAGATTTTGAACGTATAGGTGGACCAGCAATATGTGGACTTAGACGATGGAAGAAGGAATGGCTTCCATTACTGTCGACGATAGCATCAGACCACGCCACTTGGAAACGTCTTACCTTTATAGCCGTTGGAGTCAGCCTAACCAGTAATGATGAGAAAAAGGCACTACGCTAGCATCACTTCGATGACAAGTTTGCTCCAGTCAGAAACAGGGTCGAACTCCTCTTTCATGTCGACAATCGAGCAAAGCAACTATCTGCTTTGTTATCCAGCTATTCTTCAGTTATATACGATAAGAGAGAAAACTGTACTTTTCATATGATAGATGCAAGGTTTAAATCAAACATAATTATTCTCTCGTTTTATAAGACAAGTATTAGAAATGAATAATCAATGAATATAAATAAATGAATGGTTAAATTAAAAATTTTTTTATAAAATTTAAATTAAAATATGGCGTTTGCCACATAACTTCAAGCTCACCTCGCAATCTTTTCACAGTATCCATTTTATATTATTTTTTTGTGAATGTAATATTCGTGAATAGCTTCGTAAAACTTACAGAAAATTTCGCAGAATTTGAAAATAGCTTCGTGACATTTGCACAGTTTCGTATTTTAGAAGGGCCACAGAACGATTTTTAGCAATGCTTTGGAGCTTTTTCATTCGTTTTGAAATAAATACATGTAAATATTAAATCATAGTTAATTAAAAGTGAGTAAATGTAAATATCGATCATATCCCAATATTTATTTGTGATATATATATATATATATATATATATCGCTTCACTGCACTTGTCAGTTATTTTGCATTATCATGAAAATAGAATTATTTTGATATTATTCATATTAAATCCGCAAAAACAGTACAATATAATTTTTTGACGAATTTTTAACATTTATAGACCGCGTTTATAGATAAAAAATTACTATTGAAAAAAATGGCAGATTTTCAATTCTCGGAAGAATTTCTTTGAATATCGTTTTATGCTGATAAATGATAAAAATTATTGATTATTAGAATTCATTGTTTGGACGCCTCAAATAATAAGTATTTTAAATAATAAGTTTAATAAGTTTATCTTTTTCCTTAAATATAATTTTAATTTTTAAACTTTCCTACTTTATCCTTGTCTTCGACAGGAGTAATCCTGTCATATCAAAAATCCAAGCGGCTGTTCAGGACCCACCTATATGTTCATCTCCAAATGATATGATGAAAGGGCCTGATATTCTTGACATGGCGTTCGCATTCGACGCGCACGATATTTCCAACTCGATGCTACATGTGACGAGCATATAATCTGGGCGTAAAACGATTCCAGGGTTTATAAATAACATGTGCTCATGAGACAGATTAATGGCTCGAAAGTTATCAAGGAAAACAACACGCAAGGTGTTATCCGTAGCGCCAATATGCTGCAAACCAAGCGAATCCACATGCTTTCTAAATATCGTGTGGATGTAGCCTGTTTATCAAAGATGCGCTTTCCTCACTTTGGGTTTCGAGTAAAAGTTGGTTCCGAGGTACACATTGGCTCTTGTAGTATTGCAGTATAGTATATTGTAGTATAGTATTTCGGATAATTCGAAGCGAAACGGCATAAAAACTGTCATGCTTGAAAAGGTCCATTTGAAACTAGTAAACTTCATGGATCAGGCCATGCTATGGTTCGAGCCACATAAAACTAACAACTTGCAAATAACAAATAATGTTTCTCAAGATCTTTCAACTGTAACTCTCTTTTAACTCTCAAACTAAAAAATTCAGGGTAGGTGAGCGTATTTCAAATCGAATTATTAATTATCTTAATGATACAAGCATCAACGTTTTTTCTGGAACGGCAAATACTGATAAATAAATACTGATCCCAAGAATCTCTCCGAAAGCCAGTCACTCTCATGTTAGGACATACCGACAAAAAATGCGTTATGGAAGTAACTACACTTCGAAAAAGAAAAAGGTAAAGCATGAATATCAGAAGATACTGACTACGGGATGCTTCGAAGAATTACGACAGCAGCTCGACGAGATAGAAAACATTACTGGAGTGATATGGCCATGGAAGTGGAAACGGCGGCATTATTAGGTGATAGGAAACTACTCCGCTTTCTTAATAAAACTACTATAACTCGGAGTCAGAAAAAATAAGGGATAATAATGGTGAGCCTGTTAAGACTATTAAAGATCGCCTCAAAAGATGGAAAGAATTTTTTGAGACCAAACTTAACCACGAGCCGCCGTCTGTTGCCCCCAATATAGCTAATTCGCTCGTCGAACTATACGCTTGCAACTGCGAACCGCCAACAGAAAAGGGAATAATTTCAATTTATTTCTAAATAATTTCTCCATAAAAGCCTAAAAAACTCCCGAAGAAAATGGTCTTCGGACCGAACTCTTCAAATATTTCCCTTCAAATCATCCTTCATATCGCCTCTTCAACCAATGTACTCTCTGATATGGCAAGAAAATAATACCAGATGACTGGAGCAAAGTCATTTTTCCAATTAATAAGAAAGGTGACAGAACTTACCATGACAATAACCAAGAAATCAGTCTTCTAAACGTCTCAGTGAAAATTTTTGCTTCCCTTCTATTCAACAGATTTTTGGCAGCACCATACAGCAGGACCCACTCTAACCAAGTTGGATTTAACTGAAACGCGCTTATATTGACCAGATATTCATCTTAAGGGTGTTGGAACATAGCTTGAGATGTCTGCAACCTATCGTATTTCACCGACTTTCATCGATTCAATTGATAAAATGAAGCTTTGGAGGATAATGGAACGCGATGGTGTTCCACCGATCATTCGACTAATAAAGGCATTTTATTCGGTATGTGTACATAGGGAGTCTTTCGAAATAAATGATGTCTATCAAGGTCCCATTCTTTCTACAGTATTCATCTAATATGATAAACTGGATAATATATCTCGCTTATCAAGACAAATGTACAAATCGGTTTTGAGTATACTATCATAGATGAATATGTTGATGATATAGACCTTTTTGACGAAACGTAAATAATGCTATACACTATGTCTATTGTAGTGAGAATCGGACTGAGGGTCAATATAAAATTAGTTATTCCATCTTATAAGAAGTTGATACTTAAAATACCTGGTTTTATTCACAGCTGATTGAGGAAGTACCTGACTTTAAATAACTTGGATCCACTCTAGCGGTCAACCCAGACAACGGTAGTTAAAAATGAGTTCTTTTGGTAAAACCTTTAGCCATCGCGAAATCACCATTGAAATATGCTGGTCTATGTAGCTACAACTCACTCGATTTTCTTATATGGCTGCGAGACACAGCCAATAACAGTGGAGAATATTGAGAGCTTATCTATCTACTTTTGATCACCTATGTCTAAACTATATTTTATGGATTCGCCAAGCGCAAAATCTCACATCACATGATCGCATCTATCTTCCCCCAAATACCATCTGCATTAATACTACATCACATAGCGTTGTCTTCGCTAGTTGGGGAATGTTCTTCGTCATCCACCATAGCAGTTGATATAAATTTCATTATTTGCTAAACTATGTGACAGATGGCATCAAAAGCGAAGTAGGCCAATCAACCTGGATTGATGCAGCCAAGAAAGATTATGAACGTATAGGAAGATTAGTGATATATGGACTTGGACGGTGGGAAAAGGAATGGTTATCTTCTATTACTTTCAGAAATAGCATTAGATCGAGCAGCTTGGAAACATCTTATCCTTGCAGGCAACAGAGCCAGCCTAACCAGTAATGGTAAGAGAATTATTAGAAGGATTCTCGAAAGACACCTTTCCAGAAATTTTTTGTTTTCATTTATATTACGATGAAATGGTAATATATAGATAAACATATATATATTATGTATGTATATGATATTACTCATACATGTATATTTTCACTTATTATTTCCTAATTTAGGTATGTCTTAAAATCGATTAGCATAAGAAATATTAACAAAGCATTCCAAAGCACTGCCAAAAACTGTTAGCGTTTTGATCTTCTTTTATAAATGTTTTTCGAAGCTGTATGCAAATACTACGATGTGATAAACTCTGTAAAGGAAAAACTTTAAATTTCCCAGTGAAATTTTGTTATTTTTTTCTCATATAATCGTCAGTTTACCGCTTTTCTTATTTTAAAAGATTTAAATTTAAAGAATTTCAAAAAATTCTCTTACAGCAATATTCTCGAAAACACCATGAAATCTTATAAGATTTAAAGCGAATACAGTCGTAACATATGCAGTGACAATAATTGGAAACAGCAGTGGTATCGATATTGCCCAATATTTTGCCGGAACGTATGTGATTTCAATTGATTCAAGCCAAGGTGTTGGAATAATTGCCCAAATTAAATAAATAAATAAAAAAATGGATGAAGTTAAGAAAAACGCAAAACCTGAAATTAAACTTAATTTTAAAAAATTAAAGTGGAATAAAATTTTTGTCCTATTGTACCAAATAGAATTCAAAATTAAAACGAATAAAAAAAGAAATAATAAAAATAAATAGAAAAGAAATAGTTTAAAAATTCTAAAAGCATCAATGGTTAGGCTGGCTCAGCTATAAAGGTAAAAAATTTCTAAGCTGTTCGATCCGATGCCCCCATTAACACTAATAGAAGCTATTACTTTTTCCACCATCTAAGTCCATATACAGTCAGTTTCCCTATATGTTCCTAATATTTTTTGTGTCAGCTCAGATCCTAATTGGTCCACCTCGCTTTTGACGCCATCCATCACAAAATTCAACGAAATTTGTATCAATTTCTGAGATGGGTAATGAAAAACGTGTACTAACCAGCGAAGACGACGTTCTATTGTAATATTACTAATGTATTTGAGTGAGGGTGGATATGACCATGTAAAGTTTTATTCACTCGTAAATTCGTAAAATATGTCTTAGATGATTGGTCAAATAAATAAACTCTCAATACCCCCCCCCCCAATATCATTGGTCACCAACCATATAACAGGATCGAGTGAATTGTAATTATGTAGGTGATGTGATATGGTGCGATACGAAAGGACCATAGGCAATATTTGAAAATTTCAGTCCGAAGACCATCTTTTCCTGGAGTTTTATTGACCTTGAGCGCTTAGTTGATAAAGATTGTCTCATGTTCTGCTTGTGGTTCGCAGATGCAGATAAAAATATGGCTTAAGCAGCAATTCAGCTATGTCGGGAATAACAAGGTTGAGAACTTTGGCTTCAAAGAATTTCTCCTACCCTATGAGGGGATCGTTGATAACCCTATGCATATAATTATTACCCAGTACCATTTTATTATCCCTGAGTTACATTTGCTTCAGGAAAAAATCGGAAAAATCAATTTTCTATTATCGCCTAATCGAGCGACGATCTCCATTTACAATGCCATGCTGTATCAATAGCGATTTCGTCCCGTCGTGCTGTTGTTATTGTGCTTCTTCAAAGTATCCGGATATTCATCTCCGGATCATAGCCTGGCAATTTTTTCGGACAGTTGGACAATTGGCTTCCAATATTCAACCAGCCCATTTTTTCTTATTATCGTATCCTAGCAGGACCTGACTTCCAGAGATGTCTTTAGACCAGTATTCATCTGCCATTCCAGAGATGTCACTTTAAATCACTGATGTGCTTCAATGATTTCAACGTTTTGAAATGTATTGAAATGGAGAGGTTGTTTCTTACGAATTGGAGTTTTATGCGAATCATAGTACGAACCATAACATAGCCCGATCCACAAGAGTCACCAGCTTCAACGACCCAATAGGAATGACTGCCTAGTACTCTTCCAAAGGCGACTGATATAATCAATCTGGTTGGAATGTTGGTTGTCCGGAGATTTCCAGGGGGGTAGATGCCTTCTCAGATGCAAGAAAAATATACATAATATATAGTAAAAAAAAAGCTCATGGTGTTCGGCAAAGCAAAGGCGTTTTCCATTGGTGCACCGGTTTCCGACGCTATATTTATCAATTGCCGAGTTCATTTTAATGAGACTTGGTTAACGACTGAAGTTCCGCATATATATATATTGGTAACTGAAACATTGCCGAATTTTCCTTTGAAGCGGGTATAGGCCATACGGCCGCTTCTTTTTATCAAAATAAATCGAATTTTTTCAGACATGACAATCGCTACGCCATTTCGCTCCGAATTATCCGAAATACCACAGTAATATAACCAATACCTTTGCTTTGAAACAGGTATAGTAATCGCTCGAGATCCGAAATGATGAAGGCGCGCTTCCGACAAATAAGCAATATTTATACGGAATTTAGAAAGAGAATGGACCATGATCGCTTGGCTTGCACGTCCATAAGCGTTCTGGCGCTCCAGGCAACTATGACCAGGCAACCAAACCTCGGCACGCATGCATAGTGCCAACGGATAGCTTCTCGTTTCCTTGATAAATATTTTTAAGTTTCACCTTCAAAAAGGCAACCTCTTTTACTACGTTCTGATTGCATAATTACCGCAAGTACCCATCTGATAGTACTATACCCATTTCACTATATAGCCACTTGAAGATGGATGTGGGTCCCCAGCAACCATCGAGATTTCTGATGTCATAATAGGTTCTCTTGTCAAAAGCAAAGGAACGATAAAATTAAGGGAGGAACGATGATGAACAAGAAAAGATAAACTTAAAGAATAAATTAAAATAAATTTACTTTTATTTTTTATTGCATCTTTTTATTTAAACTTATATATACGTGTTTATTTTAAAATTTGAAAAAAAATTAGAAATTTAAAAATTTAGACAAATTAATAATAAATTAATTTGGAAACAAAGAAAGGATTCTAAAAAACCAAACACGAATAAATTTCTTAAATTTATAATTTACGCATCGAAAAATTTTGAAATAAGGTTTCATTCACTGAAGAAATCATAATAACAATTAAATGCTCGTGAACAAAAAAAAATCGATCCATTATTACAAAACAACCAACTTTATTTATTATTTATTACTTTATTTATTATTTTTATTATTTTATTTATTTTTCATGTTAATAATTTTGCTTTTTTGGTGCAACTTAGCCAAAAGGATCATAAAACATCATTATGAAGTTACAATCGCTTGTTGAGTTTTGTAATTTCGACGTTCCAATGCGCGGTTCTAATCCGCATTGGAAGGAGTAGAATCCTTTCTCTCAAAAATCCAGGTGACGACTGCGCTCTCATCTGCACTCTTATCACCAAAGGACTTTCTAACAAAATTTATCCAGTCCGAACCAGTCCCTAATCAGAAGTAGCATAATATAGGAGCCTTTTTTCTGTTTCCGTCCCATAAATTCAATGTTGCGCCATCATCTTTCGCCACTTTTCTACATACATGTTCAGATGTAGGATAATCAACAACAGCCTATTCTTTTGTTTTGTTTTTGAAAATTTTTAACTTCTTGAATAAAATAAACCGCAATGCAAGCTTTACAGGGCAGTAAGGCGAAGAAAAAAAAATTACTGAAAACGAAACCATAAATGGCACGAGCTGGATGTGGATTTGGTGTCGCGCATGGAAGTAATTCGAATTCGTCTACTCGATCATCAACGATCATTAGCTGCTCCTTATGGATGGCTTATATTTATATTTAGTTTTAACACGGAATTTAGCCTGAAACATATAAAAGTAGGAAAAGGATTCAGAGAAAATTCATCTCAAAAATTTACGTAATAAAATGCAATTTCTTGTTTGGTCCATCCATTTGAAGAGAAAACTCCGGAACCATAAGAAGATAGTAGGAGGACAAGGGACTCAGAAACTCTTCAAACACGTGCACCAAACAATCGACGACGAAACACCGAACATATGGAAAAAAGATGAGAATAAAACCTATCAACAGTGGAAAGTAACTGAAAAACTAGGATATCTTCCAAGATTTCTCAGTTAAGCCGTGAATTAGAAAATGCTCGAGAAACTAAAATGCAGTCACGCCCTTTCACTGTAGCTTATTTTCGTGGCGGTGATTGTTCCTATCGCTTCTCTATGATGCGTTTGGTCATGTCGGACCCCGGTTGTTGAAAGATTTATTTTTTTCTTGGCAATTTGATTTTACCAAAATTTAAGAGTTCGAAAAATTGTTGATTATTTCAAGTTGCAAAATTTCGATAAATTTACAAAACTTCGAAAATTTTAATTTTTTAATCGAGAAAATTGTTTATCATATTTTTCGAGGGAAAAAATTTTTAAAAAGGGAAATTTCCCAACATATGTACATGGAATTTATCGGCTAAGTACCCGTTCACCGATGTGTCCGCCAACTGTACAGAGTCTCAAATACTCCATTTGCATTAATATTGCTGCTCACACTGGTTAGCAGCATCTATCTACCGTCCATCGAAGTTCAGTTGGAACGTAGGTCATCGTTGTCGATGGATGGCATTAAAAGGATTAGTCTGATCCAGTCGGACTGGTACAATTGGGGAAGTGTTTAACATATATATAGGCAGGCAGGTGGTACCCAGCGCATCCTTTAATCACGTGGACGGTGGAAAAAGGAACGGCTTCAAATACAGGTATGGCATTGGATTGGAAGGATAGGAAACATCTTGTCCTAATCACCTGTTGTGGAGCCGTTGTGAAATCACCGTCAAAAATTCAGTCCGTCGTCTCCACAGTTCGCTCTATCTTGTTATATTACTGATTTGGCCAGTGAGGTGGAGGTTATTAAGAAACTATTTACCTTTGACCACTCATGTCTGAGGTATATCTCATGGATTCTCCGAGCGGATAAAATATCTCATCCATGATCGCATCCATTATCATTTTCGCCCAAATACCACTTGCTTTGATGATGCCATCATGGAGTTTGCTCTTCACTGATTAAAGTACCACAAGGATGATATATATTTCGTTATTTGCTAAACCCTATAATAGATGGGCTTCGAAAATGAGGTGAATTGTCCACTGTCACGAATTAGAAGGATCCGAAAAAAATGAATATCAAAGCAACTTATTATAGTTCAAGTCAAAAAACAATTCAACAAAATTAATCAATCAATCCAACATAGTTATTCTAAGCTCATGAGTCGCCACGCTTATTCTTAGCGAAGGCCAGAGCATCACCTCAGTTACTGACAATCAAGCAGTAATAAAACCACCACCTCGATAAGTGGGTGGTTTAGTGGAAAAAAATAAAAGGAGAGAGATAGCTGGACAAGAGCCAAGAGAAAGAAGCCAGTAAGGATCGAATATGATAATTGCAGACATTTCAAAAAAGTCATTCTGCCAGGTGACTAAATGAGGCTGAAACTTAAAGCTTCTGGTGAAAAAAAGCGACAATCAGAAAACCGCGCAAACACAAACGAGAATCAAGAGAATCGATGAATTTTTTCCTCATAAAAAAGTGGATAGCAAACCTGGCTTTTCCATCAGAGAAGATTCTCGAGAAGGACCTCTCTACCAGGCAAGAAAGAACTCCCTTAGGAATAACCTTTAAGCATCCTCTTCAAATTAAATAAAGTAACGCGCGTTTCCTATATACTCGCAAAAGAATTTCGTCCTTTCTAAACTTCCTCCATACGAAAGACATTTCTCGCGTATTCGAACTATTTTTCTTATCAAATATTTTCCGTCGTCACAAGGAATTTCAATATCGTTTTTTTTTCAAAAATTATTTATTCATTTGAAGAAAAACAAATTTTTCTGAATGTAAAAAATCGAAATCGATACAAGCTAAATAATGAATATATATAGAGTAAACTTAAAATAAAATAAAGTATATTTTCTCAGATACACTACTTTAAAAGAACCCATCTATTATTGTTACTGTTGTTATTCTCAAACGAGTCTCGACGGCAATTTGTACTAACAATCAGTGGACTGATCATCAAAGACGGTGAGTGCTAACCACGTACTTTTTATTGCATATATTAATATATGTGTCCAGGAAAATAATTTCTATAAAATCTGTCTCTACCAAAAATTTCCTTAGTTCTCGTTGAATAACGTGCTTGTCCACTCTATAAACTTTTCACCAAAGTACCTTAATTTGTTCCATACCATCCACTTAGATTCTAAGTGCTAATAATGTATTACCCATAAATTTTCTTTTTTTATGTTTTTTATGTTTTTTCTTGTTTTTGTCTACCATTTCCTTGAAAGTTCCAGAGGTCCTTTTGTAACCATCCATAGCTCCAAAATTTCCCTAATTATTTTAAAAGAGTTTACAAAAAATAGATATTCGGGCCCTTAAGCTCCCTTGCATTAGATTAGTTTTCCAATGTACCACTCGTTGTGCCTTTCTGTCCGATTCAATGACTCTACCTAAAAATCGGTTAGATATCTCGACACATTGCCCTGAAGTCTTCTGATTTCTAAAAATCCAAAGAAAATCTATCATTTTATATATAAAGGCTACACAAATTCCATTAAATATCTCCTTAACACTCCTAATTCCCATTCTATTTTTTTGCGATAATATATTAATAATTTGTTGTTTTCCAAGCGCAATTTAATACCACCCATTCCTATTTCCTTAATGTACTGGCAAACATAGCAGTGTACATTTTTCACGGCTGCAGATTATCAAACTGCAAAAAGCATCATTACGTGAAAGAGGAAGATATCAGAGGGGGAATTTAGCGAGGACTGGAAAATACTGAGGAAAAATAGTAAGGATTTTACGTGTGAAGAGAAAGAATCAGCGTTCGATGAGGCTAATGTCATGGGTTTTGAGACTCTCCTATCAATAATGCATTTAATTCCAGTCGTTATTATCACTACCATCATCACTATGCCCTTCATCATCATCTTTCGGCGGCGGTGGAATTAAAGCGCTCATACGGGCCAAAGCAGCAACTCCAATATTTGAGCGTTCACTACCAGCTATTACTGAAAAAGAACCATATATGTAGAAATAAATTAAAATTTTTTGTAAATTAAAATTTACAAAAAAAAAGGAAGAAAAGAAAGTTGATATTTTTTTCTGACCAGCAATTTCAAATTTAAATTAGTTTAAATTAAATCATTTTTTTAAAAAGAATTTTTACCATTACCGGTTAAACTCGCTTCGCTGGCTTGTCGCATCTTGGCGACAGAAATACAGCATCACCAGCATCACCAGGACTTTTGGATAGATTTACTCCTGCTGGGAATATAATCTTAATATCGGCGCTCCAAATTGAGCAACAACCGACTAAGCCATCCTATCCCCTTGAATTAAATCATAAATTGAACTATTTAGTGGAATCCAAATGACGCTTGGGAGTCCAGCTGAATCTTTAGCAAAAGAATCTCATACAGTATAAATCAGAAATGGTAGCGATCTTTAACAAAAAAGAAATGAATTTAGACAAAATAACAGGTTATAGCAGAGATTATTTATCGCCGCACAATAATACTACATTTATGCTCAAAAATGAGCAAACACGACAAAACAGCAGAAATGAAAGATTTTCTCTAATGGAGACGGCTGTTTAAGACCAACAATTTCGTGGTAGAACAACAAATATCAGGCGAAACTGTTGCACTTTTAATTTTCATTTTGTGGTACTTTTAATGTTTTGTGCAATTAATCACTTTGTATACTGATTGATTATAAATAAAGGTTTAATTACCCAAGTTTGAGCAACGCAACGGTGAACGATAGGTTATGATACTTTTAACAGGAAGTCTAATGATCACAAATCATGGACATACGATATGAGAATTTTTTTCGTTAGAACTGATGTGGAAAAAAATTCTAACTGGTAGGATTAAACTGTTTATAAAAACGATGCATTACTACAAAAATTTTAAAAAGACGGAGTATTTTCATTGCTAAAGTATATCAGCGTTAAGAATTCCAATTTAATTGCTAAAGTAAAGGGATCTCTCAGATGTAATTTAACTAATATTGTGAATATTGGAAAAAAAAAGATGAAATTTTATAACCAGAAAACTGGCGTGTATTTCGATAAAACTGTGATTATATTATAATAATGTATTACTTTAGATTAAACCAAATATTGAAAAAGATTTTTGAACAAAGTATTAGAAGGTGAATTCAAAATTTAACGTAATAATTTTCTAATCCAGCGTTTCTCAAATTGTGTTTGCCTTAGATTCTTCAGTTTATTAATTTAAATTTATTAAAAACATACAAGTTTAATTCCTTAATTTTTATTAATTTTTTTTAATTTTTTCAATTTAATTTGAATAAAAAGTGGATTTAAATTCTTCTAAAATTGGTTTCTTGGCCTCAATACCAGAGTACACGTCGAAATTAGTCAAACTTGATTCCTATTGATCTATCACTCCACTGCTGCTCGATGCACATAGGAAATCAGATCAGAAATATTAGAAATTTTAAGAATTTTAAGAAAAAAATTTTAAAAAAAGATTTAAAGGATGATTCAGTTTCAGTTTTACAATATTTGTGTGATTTCTACCCATCTCTTTCCAAAACTCATCGAAAATAACTCTTTCTAACCAAATTTCCTGTCTGCATTCGAAATCCATTTACAATAACAGTTAAACCAAGTGGTTTCTCTGTACATGAATATGAAAATTGATTAACTGGTTTAATTAATTAATTGACTCTGATCTAACAAAGAACTATAAAGAATCGTAAGAGATCTTCATTAAATAATAAATCAAGTTGATTTAAGTGAAGAATATCCCAATATGTTAATCCAGCAATAAATCCTTTTTTTCATCACGATCTATTTATGTGAGGCAGAATTTTCATATGACAACGAAAACAAAATATAAGAATAGGTTTGATGCAAAATCTACCATGAGGATTCATAATTTAAAAGCACAGAAACATCGACCTCATTTAAATCTTTTTCAAAAATATAATTATTTCTTATATATGAGTGAAAATGAAGGTAATAATTCTTATCTTTTCATTGTTTTTATATATAAAGATAATAATAATGTGTTAATTTTGACTAAACAAACATACTGATAAATAGTATTTGTTTGTTTTGAAATCACATAAACTCAATAGCCATAAATTCAATTATATGATCTCCTGATCATTCTTAACTTGTTCCACGGTAAAAAAATTTGGAAAATAATGGTTTAATCTGTGAATTTTTTTCAAATTCTTAACTATATGTTACGAATATTTATTAAATTAACTTTCATAAATTTTATAAATTATAAATTTTGTTACTAGATCATATTGTAAATATTTCTGAGGGATTTTTTTCTCAGTTTTAGCATCACCACTCTTATTTCGAAATTCTTTGCCCGAAATTCTTAATTTATAGACAATTAAGTCTTTCTGTGAAATATTAAATATATTAACCTTTCCTTCTCATTTCGAGAGCTTTTGTTAGCGATGACATTAAATCATCACCACCGGATAAACAAATAGGTTTAGCTAAAACCGATAATTGCTCATTTTCTTTATTATCATCCTGAAATTAAATTTATTCCAAGGACAAGATAATCCAATGACTTTGCACTAATAGGAATCGTCGAATTTTTCCTCATGAATCAAAAAAATTTCTTATCTTCACAATAAAAAATACTTAACAAAGCAGCTTAAAAATACCTTTTGACTGACTGATCGTAATTTTGCTCCTTTTGTTCCACCAGCTCTTCTTATTGCTTCCATTAAACTAGCACGCCCATCGTCATTATTCGCTTCATATATGTTATTGCTGTTCTTCTTGGTGTTTGCTAATACAGGGACTGGCATCGGAGGTGGCGGTGGCGGTGGCGGTGGTGGTGGAAGTGGTGGTTGTGGTGATTGTGGCGATGATGGATCTAGTGCTGACGCGCTAGGTAAAAGTGCAGAGGTTGAATCTGACTGAGTTTGAATTACTGATATCAAAGGATTTTGAACCGACAAAGTCCGAGATGGAGCTGAAAAATAAAAAAATGCATTTAAACAGCATTTTCAATGATATTTTTCACCAAATACCCTGCAATGAATGAATGTATTCCCTACTTTTCTCGGAAGATGGAATAGCTTCCACAAATGAAACTGATGCGAATTCCACTTCAGTATTTGCATGTGAAATTTCCAGCGCCTCAGATTTTTCCAAGTTTATATTTGCTTCCTTTTCATTTTCAAATTTGATAAAATTTTTAGCTGAAGGTGCGATAGAAGCAAAGTTAAAACCAATAAGCGACAAATCAGTAACAATACCTAAAAATTTCAGAAGTCAATATATTGAATTATGTAACACGAAAACAATTTTAAAAAAGAAATTTGCGGAAAAAAAATTAGGAAAAGTTTCTATTTTAATGTTGATACTGTCTAACTTGTACTCATATCGATAAATTATTCCCTGAGGCGAAAAAAGTCTAACCGGAAATGGCTCATTCTAGAAAAAAAATTTTAAAGAAATGTAATTAGAAGTTCACCAGAAAGATTTGGTAAAATGTCCGGAAAATCAAAATCTTGCAATGTGCCTAATTCAGGTCGATATTGCAATGGATCATCAACTCTTTCAATACTGACATCAAACATAGAGTGTTCTGCATTTACATTCTTTACCACCGACGATTCTGCTTTCTGTTTTTGGCGCAACTAAATCTTTATTTTAAGGCATTATAAAGGTAATACAAAGATAATAATTTTAAATGGAAAACAAAAAACTGACCAGTGATTTACTATTATCCAGTGGATCAGTAAATTCATCATTAGCATAAAAATTTAAAGAAGTATTGAAAAGGAACAAATTGGCAACCGAAGATAGCTTTTCAATAGGTGGCCTTTTTTCTAAATTTCAACAAAAATATATTCTATTTATTCGCCAAAAAAAAATATTCAATTTTGTTTTTTCATCCACATAATTTCCAAAAATCTTCATTTCTATATTTTCCACCAAAATCAATTAAAAGAATAAAAAAAACAAATAAACAAACCATGTTTAGTAACGAGATTTCGCTTCCGAATGATATAAAAAAATTTATCTTTATGAGCAGCTGTAGTTTTTATATCTGTTAACCGGTAAAGCACTTTCTTTTTTATCTTTTGTGAAGATTTCTCGTTTTCGTTTTTCCAAGAAATTTTATTTAAATCATCAAACAAAAAAACAGACGATTTGAAATTATTTGGAGGGAATCTCGCAGGAGAATGAACTATTATTGCTTTCTTCAACTAGAAGATTTAAAAAATTAAATAAATTGAAGGAATTAAAGTAGAAAAGACTGGGTAAATAACCAGAAAAAGTCAAAAAATAAAAACTATTCGACACAATGAAGCTTTCCCTCTGAAATTATCTTGATCCCTCACCCTGCGAGAACTATTTAAGCTTGTGCATTACTCAATAAATGGACATTGCTGGACATCACTAAAATTATGGTTTCATTTTTCTTCATAAAATGAAAACTTTCGAAGAATGAGATGCCACGATAATAAATCATTAGCAATCAAACGCGACAAGAAAAAAATTCAATAATATATACTATGAACCATAACAAAACTACTTATATTCGAAAATTCCCTCATTATTTAAACGAACAGAATCAACCATAAAAATTTACCGTTTGAACAGCATTTACTTTTTCAGCGATTCGTTTAATATCACATTGAACTCTTGAGATATTCCCATTAAATTCAGCCAAACGTGATGATATTCTCGCGAAAATATCGTTCGCAATCGTTGAAATTTGTTCAATTCCATGACATATTTCTTCAACTGCCTCAACTCCATAGCTTTCACTCAAAATTAATTCCACTGTCATCGTTTATTATCTAATAATAAAGAAAATATTAAAGTAATAAAATCGTAATCGTAAAGTAATGAAATTTTAAATTCGTTGAATCAATTACAGTTATGTTACAGTTACAGTTATTTTATAACTGGCTTATACCTTCTAGCAATGAAAGCACTTTTGCTTTTTCCCATTTCTCTATTCTTTCCACTGTTCATTTATTTTTACCCCTTTCTATTGCTTTCCTCAGTGATAATTCTGTATTCTCTTTCACTTATACAGCTTTCTGTACAGGTTTCTGTTTACCTACTTCATTACCAATAAATATATGAAGTTATAATATATGAAGTTGGTTTGATCAGCTTCAACCTTTTACAGTCTCTATTTGTCTCCGTTATGGATCCATTATTTCTTCAGCAACGACTAAACAGCTGATAAATAGCTTAGTTACAACATTATCCATGGATGAAATCTTTATTCGATAAATAATTCGACAGAAAAAATTTATTAAAAAAAAAAAAATTATTAGTTTCCATAGGAAAATAAAATAACTTTTACTTCACTGAATTATTGACCAAATTCTCCACAACATTGATCGTAAATTCGAATTTGATTAGCACAAACAATAAAAAAATGATTTCTCCATTTGTATTTTACCCAAACTCACCTATAATTAAGTGATTCTCTTAGAAAAGTTTCTCACCACATTAATTGTCAGCGGAACGAATTTAATGAGAAAACAACGACCATTTAATCGTCCATTTCCTTACATATAATCGCTATTATTTTCTCACTATGTATATTATTAAAATGCAAAAATATATAAAATAAAAAAAAGAAAAAAAAATAAAAACAAAAAATAGAAAAAACGAGTTATCGAATATAGGAAATTCGTATTTCGCACATTAAAAAATTTAACAAAAATATATGAAAATTGAAAAATCCGCATATTTTTGATAATTTTTACTTGAAAAGTTTTATTTTATCGTAAAAAATTTTTACTGAGGCTGTGGAACACTACAAATCACGATATGATTGAATGACTAAGTGCCAATCGTTTCTTGCGACCATAAAAATAATCTCTGCAAACTGACGTTTAAAGTCTAACCGCAGTGTACTTTTATTTAATCGTAAAAAAACTTCTACAGATGTTGCAATGAAGGCCGACAAATAGTTGCAGCAGATTCGAACGATGACGTAATTTTAAATATCTTACAGCATATTTGTTCTATCACTAGATGGTTTTACACTTTATAAAATTTTGATAAATCATGAAAATGATTTTCAACTTGCGGCAAAGATCTTGAAAAATTTAAAAAGTTACAGAAGATCATACAATAAAACTTATTGGCGAACATAGCAAGGTGGTGTGAATAAAAGAATTATAATCACCAAAAGTGCTCTAAAGAAAAATGACTGGAAAAAAAATAATCACCGAAAAATAAAAAATTATATAACATATATTACTTATATATATATATATATATATATACAAGTGTTGGAAAATCCGGGAAAAATATAATTTGAATACCTTAAGAAAAAGTATTTAAATACAAAGAAGAAAGATCAATGGAACTCCAGAAGAAATGGTAAAATCTAATAACCAACTCGGAACAACCTGACAATTAACACGAGTAATTCAGCTTTAAGAAGGTCGACAAAATAATTGAAGAGACACCCTCATTACCTAATGGAAAACATTCCACTACCTAATATTTCATCGCCCATTGAAAATAAATTATGATTCTTATGCCTGTAAGCTAAAGGTTAATATGAAACCCATGAAAATGAGATGAAAAAATTATTATTATTCCACGAGAAATTCACCAAGTTCGACCAAGAACTATACCTCTTTCTCAATCAAATTTCTTCAAATGCTTTTTATTGCTATTCACATTATTTGCTGCAATGATGCGATCAACTTATATTTCGAACTTCATTTTGGGATACTACTATCTCCCCTTAATCCTTTTATTTGCTCAATAACCAAGAAAGCACATATTGCCGAATAACGTAGGTATATATTCTCGTTCACCTATTACAGCAAAGTATGTACTTTTTTTTTATCTGGTCCTTAAATTTCTAAATCAAAAATTCTATTGAAATTTCGAACGTTGCCGTTTTCATAATGCCAAAATACAAGAAGGATTTACAATGAAGCAAATTTCATTAAATCACTAGAGCACAGAATATCCAACAGGCTATTAGGGTGGTTTGGTACTCCATGCTATCTCACCACCAATAAAATTCTTCGAAAGCCTAACAAATAATATTCAAATGGGTTCAGGCAAATGTATAATAATTAAAGATATATTCCGAGGCGCATAAACATAATAAACTTGAAATTTATTCAGTCCAGTCATAAATTGTTGTAACTTGATGGTTATTAAGGATCTACAAATAACTTTGGTCAAAAAAACAGCCTTTAACTTATAAAACTTATGATGCAAACTTCAAAGCTCTTGATGGGAAATGGTTTCATAAAAAATATATTACGGAAAAGAATGAAAATCTATCACAGAACTTCAAATGAATCTTACACCTATATTTGCAGCTAACTATGAAGAAGCTGGATCTGGATATTTCGAGACCCAGCAAATTCAAATTCCAATAATTATACTATATATTAAAATTGATTGAAAAAAATAAAGAGATCCTCTTGGAAATTTGCAAAAGAGTAATAAAATAATTAGCCTCATTAGTTGGAAGATCCAACAGTTGCAGCTCGACAGTTTGTGGGGATTAAAAGTATCAAAAAATTTTAGTGAAAAATTGAAGATTATTAAATGTAGAGAACTCATACTAAAAAAATACGATCACATCTATCACGAAAATCTATCAATATTAACGTAAAATATTACTTTATTACATACAATTATTTTTACAATTATTTTTGCAAAGAAGTGACCTCAAAAAAAAAAAAAACTATCGAGAAATTCCCAACGAATTAATTGCAATAAGTAGCCTTCATAATTGAATTTTAAGAAATAAAATTTCCAATAAAAATAGATGATCTATTAGAATATTATTAGAATTGCAAATGTTAGGCAATCCAGTTAATTGGAAGAGAATATTTTGGACGACCAAAGTGTTAACAGTTATTTCATATACTGATTAAGGCGGGGAAATTTAAACCTATTATGTTGGAAAGAAGATATTAATTATAATAATATATTACCGACCGTTTTGTGCGTAGACGTATTAAAGAAGAAACTCCCAAATTCATGACTTAAGTTTCAAGCAGTTTCGTGCCGGAGTGTAGTCAATAAAAGGGCGAAGAAAAGGCAACGAAAATTGATTAAAAAGCTATCAGCCTTTAATCACTCATGTCTAAGATTCATTTTATGAATCGTCGAGCACATAAAATCGCACATTATTATTAATTATATCTATCTTTGCTCAAATACCACCCGTTTTCATAGAGCATCGTCTTCGCTGGTTTAGGGTACGTTTTCCGTCGTCCACCATAAGAGTTGATGTATATTTCACTACTTGCCGAATCTTGCAATGGTTGGCGTCAAAAGCGAGGAAGGTCAATCAAGAAGTGGACTGATATAGTCGGGAAAGATTTTGAACGTATAGAGGGATCAGCGATATATGGACATAGATGATGGAAAAAGGAATAGCTTCTATTATTACTAGCTATGGCATCGAATCGAGCAACTATGAAACGATCCGTCTTACCCATGTAGCCAGCGGACACAGTCTAACCAGTAACGGTGAGAGCTGTTAGAAGAAGAAGAAGAAGAAGAAAAGGAACAACACAAGAGATCTCTATCCAAAACAGCACACTATCAAAAATAGCTAAGATACTGTGCAGAATCCTCAATCTCCCAAGTCTATGGTAGAAGACCCGAGGTTAAGGATGATTAAGATCTTTGCAAAATAATGCATGAAATAAATAAAACAAAATAAAATAATAAAACATGTATGAAAAAATTGAATAAATTAAGATTAAAAATCCACAGCTAACATCAAAATTCTAGGAAATACTTGACGCTAAATATTCTACTGAAACTCAACTCAATACCAAATAACTCTAACCATAAACGACCTACTTCAGAACGGGAATCAGTGAGAGTATAAAAACAATTTTCAGTATGTAAGTTCCAAAATTTAATGAATGTATCCTTCGAACTGAAAAAAGGATTCGATCCATAAATTTAACAATAAATCAAAGAATGACAAGTCAAAACAAAATAATGTAGCCAAAAAACGTTATTTTCAAGTTAATTAATTACAGACAGAAAAAATTCTGAAAGAAAAATGAAAAAATTAAAAATAAAAACATTGTAAAAAATTGGTGGAAAACCATAAAAAAAGCAAAATTACTATGAATCTGATAAAAAAATATTTTAAGAAAACAAAAGCTCCCTTACCTACTGATCAAAAAATGTCCATTTTGAGTAAATTGAAGATTTGTAATGCAGCCTTTGTGGCCATTCAATCGACATAACCCACATTCGTTAACAATATCCCACAATACAATTCGAGAATCCTAAAACTAGATTCCATAGAAAAAAATAAATCATGGGCGAAAAATCAGTATCAATGGCAAAGGCAAAGACGGAGTAGAAACAAAAAATAAAAGTTACCTTACCACCTGATGCAAGGACAAGTTCATCAGGGCTAAATGCAAGACAATTAACACCAGTTTTATGCCCAGAAAAAGTTATGAATTCGCATTTGTCTGAAAAGCCGATTAAAATATAATGAATAAAATAAAAAAATGAATAAAATAGATGAATCATATTTAAATCACATTTTGAAATCATCCATGTTTTCAATCCAAATTGAAAATATATTTTCTAAAAATATATAAGAAGCTAAACTAAACTTTTGGTCATCGAGACCAGTACTCGAAATAATTTCGATTTTATATTAAAAAAAACCAAAAAATATTTTCAATCAAACCTTTGTTGAGTTTACTATAAAGGCGAATAATGCCATCAGCGTATCCAACTGCAAGAAATCCCTTATTACTGCTGAATATTAGAGTTGTGACATTCTTGCCTGAACCAGAAATCTCTGAAATCTATAATTCAACCATACCAAGTTTTTTTTAAAAAAATCACTTTTCAGAATTCGATAAGAAATTTTATTAGGTACTAAAGAGAATAAGTGAACCGAAAATAGAGCAGAAATTAGAATTTAAATAACAAAATTTAAATGGATTTTAAATCATTTTTTAATCAAAAAAACCTTTTCGCATGTTCTTAAATTATAGAAATATACATTTTCACATGCAGCAACAGCACAGATAGAATCAGTAATAGCTACTAAAACTCCATTTGTTGATGCAATGATATTACAAGTACCACTCAAATTATAACGCAAATAATCCTTCGTAACTCCCATTCTTTACCATAAAAAATACAATTCCTGAAAATCAATCCATCTATTTCTCTATGAAAGGACTCAAAATTGTCTTAGAAATTACTGAATAAACAAGAAAAAATAGAAAATGGGACAAAAAAGTGTGGAAATAAATCTTTGCTGAAAAACTGATATTGAGAAAATATATTGAGAAAGTAGGTTGGAAAAGGTTAAGAATATTTAATGAAAAGGATCAAAAGATAAAAATAAGATAAAAATAAAATAAAATAATGCGTAATAAGCGTAAGCGTAAATAATTGCAATTAGCGATCACCATTTATAGTCGTGTTAACTTCATTAGCTTTTGGTACTGTTAGAATTTTTTGACAGGAAATCATCTGGTACTAGAAACAGATATACTAGAACTAGAACTCGCCTGACACTAGAAATACAGGTGCCAAGAATGCCAGAGGATCATTCTTCCCCCTCACCACCTGAACCATTATCCATCCGGCTATCCTCCTATCCTCTCCCTCAATAGGTGCAATGATATACAAAAAGAAAATAAAAACTGTGAAAAACGAATCACATGAAGTTATGAAACCAACGATATTGGGAAGTTAGCTCTATTTCTATATGACTATTAAGAAACTCTCTCGAAAAACACTTTTATTTTTATTGAATCAAGTCAAAACGAGAAA